CTTCAGCCTTGCACGTCATAAATCCGAACAGCCTAGAAGGCCAATGCTGGGGTGCTGCAGTTTCCGAGTTGGTTCAAAGCGAACAGGGGGTTTCACGTTTAAAGATACTGCAGGGCAGGGTATCTTCTAATGTGTCTGCATTACGGAACTTCTTGGAGGTTCATGGGTAGTTATAAGTAAGGCTATAAGCAACTTATGACTCAACTTATAACTACCCATGGACCTCCAAGTAAACCCTAACCCTAAACCCTTTCAACTGAAAGGGCTCAACTGGCTTTTGCAGGTTCAGGTCCTCTCGGCCTTTCCTCCCCCAAGGACTCCAAGATTCCGTCAGCAAGAAAAACCCACCGGAAATCGTAGTAGGCGTCCCCATTATACGTGGGTTTCCGAAAATAAAATAAGGGACCCTAGGCCCTAATATAGTACCCTGGAATTTTCGGAAACTCCCACTTGTCGGTGCAGGGCTTTGGGGCGTTCATAGGACGTTCATCTCGGCTTTTTCTGAAGACTGGCTCTCAGTTTTTCGAGCTCGTACCACGCATCGCGGACATAACTAAACCTTACGCCCCCCAAACCCTAAACTAAAACCCTGATCGAAACGTACGAAGCACTCGATCAAGCTTTTTCACGCATGACTTCCACGGCCGTGCGCAATTCAACGGCAACCTTCAACCAAAACCTGCAAACCCCAAGCCCTCAAACCCTCAAACCCTCAAACCGCAAACCCTAAACCCCAAACCCCACAACCCAAACCCTGGACTGCAAACCGTAAAATCCCCAAACCCCCGGAGCTCAGAAGCCCTCAAGCCCGGAAGATCTTTTCGGGTTTAGGGCTGAATGTTCAGTGTTGAGGGCTTAGGAATTAAGGGTAGGTAAGGGGGTTTAGGGTTTAGCGTTTAGGGTTTAAGCTGTTGAATTATAGCGCTTAGAGGTTAGACTTAGAGGTTTCAAGTTCCTTGAACCCTAAATCCTAAACCCTAACTTTGAAGCTTGAACGTCGCCGGGGCGTCTGCGGTACTGGCTTGTGCCCCTTCACCTGCATGGTGCGAATAAGGGGAAACGAACTAGATCCTGAAACCTACCCTAAACCCTAAACCCTAAACCCTAAACCCTAAACCCTAAACCCTAAACCCTATATCGAAGAGAAAGACTTGGGTTCGTCTTTGAAGTTCGGGATCCTGCTGGCCAGTTATCACCGACCTAATGTAGGAACCTGATTAAGAAACCCTGGCCCTAAAACCCCAATATATTAGGATTCATATTAAGAACCCAAATAAAGGCCCAGGGTTTCTTAATCAGGTTCCTACATTACCCTTTCTGTACTGACAGGAAAGCGAATGCGAAACCCAAACGCCCGCTAGTATGGAATAAAAATACACTGTAGTATTGCTCCTGACGAGGTTTGAGGTGCATTCCTTCATTGGATGTTTTGGGGGTTGTTTGGGTAACTAGCTAGAAAATAAAAGCGCCCTGAACCAAAACTTAAACTCTGTAGACTGTAGACCCCACCCAACCCGAGGCCCAAACCCCAAACCCTAAACCCTAAAGTTGGCCCTAAAGACCCTTCCATGAACCTCCTGCACCCGAAAGCAACAAAACCACAAAGAACGGACGGATCCGAAAAGGAGAAGCGGGGGCCTTATAATTCGACTAGGGGTTTTGGGGCTTCCTTATTATAAGATGATATACCCCCCCAAATGGGGATTTCACCGTCTAGGGCTTTGAAATCTGACTTCCGGCCTGCTAAAGCTCAGGGCTGTAGG